ATTGTCTTGGTCAAATTAGTTTTCAGATTAGCTGGCTGATAATTGATAAAGTATTTACATTCATGGTTTTAGCTCTTAAACTCACCCCATTGTATCCGAGACAACAGAATGAGGGCTCAATGTTTCACATGACTTGTCCCGTACAGGAGGGCAGTCCTCCCCTATTCTTCGAGTGGCTAATCAATGGACAGATCGTTAAATCAAAACCTGATGTCAACTATAAGATTGAAAATTTTAAGAAATACTCCACTTTTACTATCGATGAGATCCAGAGGAATGATTCCGCGAACTATACGTGTATTGTTAGGGATTCTGTTGGAAGTGATAGACAAACCGTTTTATTAACAATCAATGGTATGAAATGCACGATTTGTGCTCTACTCTGTCATACATTATAAGTATTTTGTTGTAATTTTAAACTAATTATCTTTAATTGAATATTTATCACATGATATCTGAATTATATTCAGTTCAAGAGAAAAATGTTTTCAAACTTATTTGAAATGAAAAGTTGTGGCAAATTGTGAATCGCATTCAATGTGTGTCACTGTTGTAGACATTATATTCTCACTGTATTTGCCATCAATTGATATCTTCATGTCAGCCATTATTTTACTCCATATCTTACATATTGTTAGTAGTGTTTAAGTGTATATCTGTTTGACTTAACATGTATTCAAAGTGTTGTCTGTATTATATATTAATTTATGTAATTGTAAATCAAATCTATTTATGCAACTCTTCTGGTATTTATAATAACATTTATATTAAGAGATGTATTAATTATATTCTCTCATGAAATCAGTCCCTAAATTGAGTTATAATGGAGTTTCAAATAAGACTCAATCGATTGGCTCTAACTTTCATATGGTCTGTACTCTGGAAGAAGGATCACTTCCAGTGTTCTTCGAGTGGTCTAGAAATGGACAGACAATCAAATCCAGACCTGATGTTAATTATAAGATCGATAATTATGAAATGTACTCCACTTTTACAATTAAGTCCATTGCTATGTCTGATATCGGGAACTATACGTGTGTTGTTAGCAATGAATTTGGATCTAATAGTAGATCTATGTTACTATCAATTAATGGTAAAAACAATATTTATTAGAATTATTAATTTAGTTTAATTTATTATAGTTTAGCTTTACTAGCTTACCATGTAAATTTATTCAGTGTTCACAAATATAGTTGTATTTTATAAGCTGATTGTAATCACATCTTACAGTTTATGTTGAATACAATTCAAACTTATGTCTAAACCGCCAAATGATATCTGCATTGAATGGCAATCAATGTGTGGCACTATTGTAGACATCAATCCATAGAGAAGTGTCTTATATTAACCACTTCTTAGAGTTCTTGTCAGCCATTACTCCAAACGCTGTATAATTTGTGATCAAAATGTTTTCCAAACAGTATTTCGTGTTTATTATAAATTCATTATTTCTAATAATTAGTTGTGATTTAATATCAGGTATTGTTATATGAATTGAGTTCACAAACAAATTATATAAAATTATAATATTATCTCTAATTCAGTCCCAAAATTAATGCCACAATTGAGTACAAGAACTCAATCCGAGGGCTCATACTTTCAGATCACATGTACAGCACAGGGAGGCTCTCATCCCCTGTTCTTCGAGTGGTCTAAAAATGGACACCAAATTAAATCCAGTCCTGACGTCAACTATAAGATTGAAAACTTTGAAATGTTTTCTACTTTTACCATAAAAGATATTCAAAGAAGTGATTCCGCGAACTATACATGTCTTGTGAGAAATGCTTTTGGATCTGACAGTCAATCAGTTTTGTTATCAATTGAAGGTATTTTGATATTAAATTATTATTTAAATTAATATCGATATTATTTAATATTTAAATTAATATCGATATTATTTAATATTTAATTAATATTTAATTCATTTATTATGAAAAGATATATTTAAATCTTAAGTACATTTTAAACATATTTTATTGCAAATTCTTCAAAACGGGTATTGAAAATAATGTTGTATTTAGTTTTAATAACTTATGAACCAAATTGTGAATCGCATACAATATGTGTCACTGTTGTAGACATTATCCCAAAGATATTTTACCACAAACATCTACTTCTCATGTCAGCCATTATTTCTCTTACATTATATTTGTTGCAAACACTAAATACACGATCAAAATGTTGTTAAAGTATTACTTGTTTTCACTTCTATTGACACTATTTATTGAAAGCATTCAATTAAACGATTCTTTGGGTAAAATATATGATAATATAAATGATATATTACTGATTGATATCCATTATTAGCCCCAAAACTAGCCTTTTCTGTATCACATAAGAGCCAAACGATTGGCTCAAACTTTCAAGTGTTTTGTACAATACAAGAAGGATCTGTTCCGGTGTTCTTCGAGTGGTCACTGAATGGACAGACACTGAAACCAATGTCTGACGTTAACTATAAAATAGATAACTTTGAAACTCATTCATCGCTTACTATAAAGAGTATTGAGAGAAGAGATGCCGGAAATTATTCATGTCTTGTAAACAATGGGTTCGGAAGTGACGGACAGAGCGTTAGTCTATCCATAAGAGGTTGTAATTAATATTGTTATTTGTTTTATTAGTTTTATTTATTTTGTTGGCTATCGATAAATATACAAAATATATCAATGATATGTTTTGTTCAAATATTTTAAATATCGTTATATTTATGACTTGCAATGGATATACAGTTTGGTTACAGTTTTGAATTGTAATCTTATTCACAATTTTGCGCCAAATGTTTGCCAATTGTGTTGTGAATCAATGTGTGGCGCAATATATCCTCCGATTTAGTGTTTTTTGCCTGAAGTTGTATTTTCTTGACATAAAGTCAGCCATTATTTAGTTTAGTGTTGAATACGAGTCCACACAATGGACTACAAGTGTTTGGTTTTCACTATTATTTTTCTTCATTTCAATAGTTATACGAATTCTTCTTCAGGTATTCATCCGATTATTGTCTCAATAATTGTTTGCAAAACTAAATCTAATTTTTATCCCATAAATAGTACCCAAATTGGGTTATTCTGTGAGTCATAAGACACAGACTATTGGCTCAATATTTCATATAACGTGTTCATTAGAAGAGGGATCTCTTCCCGTGTTCTTCGAGTGGTCCAGAAATGGACAGACACTCAAATCCAGTCCTGATGTTAACTATAAGATTGAAAACTTTGAAATGCATTCAACTTTTACTATAAAGAGTATTGAGAGAAGAGATGCCGGAAATTATTCATGTCTTGTAAACAATGGGTTCGGAAGTGACGGACAGAGCGTTAGTCTATCCATAAGAGGTTGTAATTAATATTGTTATTTGTTTTATTAGTTTTATTTATTTTGTTGTCTATCGAGAAATATACAAAATGATATGTTTTGTTCAAATATTTTAAATATCGTTATATTTATGACATGCAATGGATATACAGTTTGGTTACAGTTTTGAATTGTAATCTTATTCACAATTATTGCGCCAAATGTTTGCCAATTGTGTTGTGAATCAATGTGTGGCGCAATATATCCATACATTTAATGTCTTCTTATGTACTGTTTTTGTCTGAAATTGTATTTTCTTGACATAAAGTCAGCCATTATTTAGTTTAGTGTTGAATACGAGTCCACACAATGGACTACAAGTGTTTGGTTTTCACTATTATTTTACTTCATTTCAATAGTTATACGAATTCTTCTTCAGGTATTCATCCGATTATTNATTATTTAGTTTAGTGTTGAATACGAGTCCACACAATGGACTACAAGTGTTTGGTTTTCACTATTATTTTACTTCATTTCAATAGTTATACGAATTCTTCTTCAGGTATTCATCCGATTATTGTCTCAATAATTGTTTGCAAAACTAAATATACTTTTTATCCCATAAATAGTACCCAAATTGGGTTATTCTGTGAGCCATAAGACACAGACTATTGGCTCAATATTTCATATAACGTGTTCATTAGAAGAGGGATTTCTTCCCGTGTTCTTCGAGTGGTCTAGAAATGGACAGTCACTCAGAACTGGTCCCGAAGTTAACTATAAAATAGATAACTTTGAAACTCATTCATCATTTAATATAAAAAGTATTGAGAGAAGAGATGCCGGAAATTATACATGTCTTGTGAAGAATGCTTTGGGAGACGACAGACACACAGTCTTGTTGTCAATTAAAGGTTTATTTTAATATTGTATTAAATTATAGTTTAATTATAGCATTTAATCTTAGCTTTTATTTACAATTATATATTTTACCACAAGTGTTAGTACTTATAAAGTAATTCAAATGAATTGACTCGGCTTACAGTTCAGATGTTTGCAATGTTTCCCATATAAGACATATATAAACATTTAAACCAATTGTATTGGGAATCAATGTGTGGCGCGAGTGATATCTTCATTCACTTCTTGTTTCATATAATACTTTGTCTGAAAATTATTTGACATAAAAGTCGGCCATTATTTTGATATAACATTTCTATGAGTTGTTTGTTTGTAAAAATGTGGCCCAAAATTGAGTTAAATTCTGTGTTAGTTTACATAACAATTGTTTTAACTTATGTTTCCTCCACTCAATCGTCAGGTATTATGTCTATTGAAACGACATTTCATTTGTTTAATACCTGTATTTGCATTGAAATCAGCGCCAAAACTGGCCAAACATGTGTCCCATAAGACACAACCCATTGGAACCTACTTTCAGATATTCTGTAACTTAGAGTCGGGATCTTTGCCCGTGTTTTACGAGTGGTTACGAAATGGACAGACACTCAGATCGGGTCCGGATGTCAACTATAAGATCGAAAACTTTAAGAAATTCTCCACATTTTCTATCGATGATATCGGAAGAAGTGATTCCGCGAACTATACATGTCTTGCGAGCAATGGTTTCGGTTCTGACAATATATCGGTTGTGCTCTCAATAAATGGTAATCATATTTATTGTGGTTTAATCTCATTTAAATATTAAACATTTAACCTATTGGGGGTACTTTAAATTTAAATGTCATTATAATGAATATACAGTATTCAACTAGGAACAATCATTTTAACTTACATTTATGTTTTTTATATCAAACACAAATATATTCACAATTTTGCGCCAAATGTTTGCCAATTGTGTTGTGAATCAATGTGTGGCGCAATATATCCTAACATTTGATCTCTTCTTATGTACTGTTTTTGTCTGAAATTGTATTTTCTTGACATAAAGTCAGCCATTATTTGGTTTAGTGTTGAATACGAGTCCACACAATGGACTACAAGTGTTTGGTTTTCACTATTATTTTACTTCATTTCAATAGTCATACGAATTCTTCTTCAGGTATTTATCGGATTATTGTCTCAATAATTGTTTGCAAAACTAAATATACTTTATATCCCATAAATAGTACCCAAATTAGGACCGGCTATAAGTCATAAGAGCCAAATCATAGGAACTGTATTTCATATAATGTGTTCAATAGAGTCGGGATCTCTTCCCGTGTTCTTCGAGTGGTCTAGAAATGGACAGTCACTCAGAACTGGTCCCGACTTTAACTATAAGATTGAAAATTTCAAAAAATTTTCCACATTTTCTATCGATGAGATCACAAGAAGTGATTCCGGAAACTATACATGTCTTGTGAGGAATGCTTTGGGAGACGACAGACACACAGTCTTGTTGTCAATTAAAGGTTTATTTTTATATTGAATTAAATTATATTTAAATTATTACATTTAATATTAAATTTTATTTACAATTAAATATTTCACCTCAAACTTTAGTACTTAATGTCTACCAATTAATACTCGGCTTACGGCTTAAGTTGTATGTAATGTATCTCATATACGAGTCAAATATACGGTACATATATTTATACCAATTGTGTTGTGAATCAATGTGTGGCGCAATATATCCTATTATTTCTTGTATTCACTCGTGTTTTGTCTGAAAATATATTTTCTTTACATAAAGTCAGCCATTATTTTGTCACAACATCTTTCTTGTGATCAACAAAAATGTTGTCTAAATATAATTATTACTTAAATATTGTGATTATTATCATTGCTATAAACAATTCCTATTGTGACGAACCCAAGGGTATTATTACAACACAATATTTATGTAATTAATTTAATTAATATTCATTATATTTGCTTTCATATCAGGACCTAAATTATCCAAACATGTATCGCATAAGAGTCAGTCAATTGGCACTTACTTTCAAGTGTTTTGTAACGTAGAGTCGGGATCTTTGCCTATGTTTTACGAGTGGTCACGTAATGGACAGTCACTCAAAACCAGTCCCGAAGTTAACTATAAGATTGAAAACAATGACATGTTTTCAAGAATTATTATTAAGAAGATTGAGACCAAAGATGCGGCTAATTATACATGTCTTGTGAGCAATGCTTTCGGTTCTGACAGACAAACAGTTTTGCTATCAATTAATGGTAAAGCATTTGATTTAATAAATCTTAATTAATGCTAATTATTTTTACGATAATTTTATAAATTATTTATTTATATTATTATCTTGGTTAGTTTATATTCCAAAGATAAACTCCATTGAAAACCATAACTATTCTTACAGTTTGTGTGTTTCTTATATAACAACACATGAAATATATTCAAACCAATTGTGTTGTGAATCAATGTGTGGCGCAATATATCCATACATTTCATGTCTTTCACGACTCGGTTTTGTCTGAATACATGATTTTCCTGACATAAAAGTCAGCCATTATTTACACGATTATATTCATTGCCTCTAATGTTGAAAATGTTGTGCAAAACATATTTAATTATTGTTTATATTTTATATCAAATCAACTCTTATGGCGCTTCGGGTATAATATTTCGTATTTAATTATAAATTAAATAATTAAACATTAATTTCCATTAAAATCAGTGCCAAAGTTGGGCTCAATTGTGTCCCATAAGAGTCTATCCATTGGAAGTCATTTTCAAATGTTTTGCAGTATAGAAGCGGGTTCTTCGCCCGTATTCTTCGAGTGGTCACGAAATGGTCAGACAATTAAGTCGAGTCCCGAAGTTAACTATAAGATAGAGAGCTCTAAGAAGTTCTCCACACTTACTATCGATGAGATCACAAGAAGTGATTCCGCGAACTATACATGTCTTGTGAAGAACTCATTGGGAACTGATAGTCAGTCGATGTTATTATCAATCAAAGGTCTATATATTTATTATAATTAATTTTATATAATTTTTATTTAACTTTATTATTAGTATTTCTATCTTTAGTTGTGTTAATGCTATTGTTTGGCAGAATTGTGTTGTATTGAAATGTCTTACAGTTCAGTCATTGAGATTTATTTCCCATATAAGAGTCAAATATATAATATATTCAAACCAATTGTGTTGTGAATCAATGTGTGGCGCAATATATCCTCTCAAACATTGGTTTTACTCCTATTTTGTCTGAGAATACTTTTTTCTGACATAAAAGTCAGCCATTATTTGCTATTGAATAGTGTTTGTCATGAAAATGTGTAAATATGAGATAAATGTATTTTTAATATTAAATCTCTTGAATACTATCTATTCGTATGATTCCTTAGGTATTATAAATAATAGCAATCATTGATAACATTCATTGATCATAACATTTGCCATTAGCCCCGAAGTTAGCCATTTCTGGTATCATTAATAAGACTCAACCAATTGGTAGTAACTTTCAAATATTCTGTTCGGTTGAGACCGGATCTCATCCACTATTCTTTGAGTGGTTACGAAATGGACACCAAATTAAGTCCAGTCCTGACGTCAACTATAAGATTGAAAACTTTGAAATGTTTTCCACTTTTACCATAAAAAGTATCCAAAGAAGTGATTCCGCGAACTATACATGTATTGCAAGGAATAACTTCGGAACCGATAGACTATCTATTTTATTATCAATTAAAGGTATGATAATATGGTTTCATGTAATCTATTATATAATATAAATGGTTATTATTATAAATATAATTTTAATAAATATACTATATTACATATCGGTTAGAATATATTAAGTTATATTAACTTTAATATCACTGGTTATTATAATAAATGCAATACAAGTTTAATACACTTCTTGTATTATCACAAATTGTGTTGTGAATCAATGTGTGGCGCAATATATCCTATTATTTCTTGTATTTACTCTTATTTTGTCTGAAAATATTTTTCTATGACATTA